AGGAAAAACACAAAAAAAAAAAAAAAAAAAAAAAAAAAAAAAAGAAAGAAAACATGGAGTGTTTCCTTTGGCAACATATATGAGGATCTACAAGAAAGGTGATATTGTAGACATTAAGGAAATAGGTACTGTTCAAAAAGGAATGCCCCACAGATGTTACCATGGCAAAACTGGAAGAGTCTACAATGTTACCCAGCATGCTGTTGACATTGTTGTGAACAAACAAGTTAAGGGCAAGATTCTTGTCAAGAGAATTAATGTGAGCTAAGCATTCTAAGAGCAGAGATAGCTTCCTAAAACGTGTGAAGGAAATGACCAGAAAAAGAAGGAAGCCAAAGAGAAAGGTACCTGGGTTCAACTGAAGCGCCAGCCTGCTTCACCCAGAGAAGCTCACTTTGTGAGAATCCATGGAAAGGAGCCTGAGCTACTGGAACCTATTGCCTATGAATTCATGCATGATGGGTATTAAAAATAAAATAATCTATCTATGGTCTATAAAAATGTTTGCCTTAATTGAGTAGAATTGTGTTGCCTCCTCAAAGCTAATTTTTATTGGGCTCTAATTCATTTTTAAATATCTTTATTCAAATTTAGTATTTTTTCACCTGAAAGATGTTAGGTGGTTTATACAACAAATAAAACTCAATTGGTTAAAAACAAAAACAAAAACAAAAAAAACTGCTGGGCCTGGGACTTGATCCATGAAGCTAACCATATGGGATCTAGCCACCTTAATCTCCACTCCATCTGTTTGCCCTCCGAATTTTTTCTTTTCTATTTTTTTAAGTTTTTCTCAGACAGTACGTGCACTGGCCAGAGAGAGAAAGAAAGCTTTTTTTTTTTTTTTTAAGGATTTTGCCATAGGCTGCATGTGCTCATGCAGAGAGGCACTGATAAGAAAAGCAAGAAATCACCCCCCCCCCCAAGGGGGATGGTCATGCTGCAATCCCACTTATTCTCTGGGATTTTGGACATGCACACATAGCGCTAAGCCTGGGGGCAGACGCCGACACACACACACTTCCCTGGTGTGATTTTCAAGCCACCTTCCTGTCATGATTTTGAACACACTCATACCTGTACCCAGTGGATTTCTCAAGCTGCCAGGGCCAGCATTTGAACCATGTGGTTGGCCATATGGGATCTGGCTTCTTTAACTACCAACCCACAAAGCTACCCCCAGAATGGTTTTTTTTTTTTTTTTTTTTTTTTTTACTTTTTTTTTACCGAGATTTTTGCCTTAGGTTCATGTGCTGCAGGGGGAGAGATAGTGAGAGAAAGTGAGAAATCACCCCTCAGGTGGGGGGATGGCCACACAACAATCCCTTCTCCTCCTGGGATCTTGGGCACGCAGGCGCACACACCCATGTGATTTTCAAGTCACCGGGTCTGGAACTCGAAGCATGGTCTGTCATGTGGGAGTCCAGCAACGTAACTGCTATGCCATGCACCTGAAGTAATATTGAAGCCACCGGGTCTAGGACTCAAACCACAGTCAGCCATGTGGGAGTCCAGCAACATAACCACTATGCCATCTGCTGGCTCCCCCAGAATATATTTTAAATGTATTAGCTAGAATCAGAGTTTTTCATCTCTAACACAGGACTGTAAATTGTTTGTATTTATATACTTAAGGTCTGTTAACTTATTTCTTCCATGAGGTAAACAGATGGAGAGACAGGCACCTCTAACAGAATCCTCACACCAGTCTCATCAGATGGGATCACGGGCAAAAATGTGCATCCAGAGTGCTCAGGGAGGTTCCAGTTGCCTTATTGCTGCACTGCCTGATCCTGGTTTTGCTTTTTAAACTTTATCTATTTATCATTTTTAATTTGACCAGAGACAGAGTGAGAAAGAGCGAGAAAGTGAGGAAGCAAGCCGCCAAGTCCAGGGCTCGATCCCTGGTAAGCCATGTGGAAGTCCAGAGCCTTTAACCACCATGCCACCTGCCAGCCCCTTAAAATAATTACTTTATGTGTTTATTTATTTATTTATTTTTATTTATTTATTTTTGCTATAGGGCACGTGCGCTCGCCAGACAGAGAGACATAGAGACAGAAAGCGAGAAATCATCCCCCGGGGGGATGGTCACGCCGCAGTCCCTTCTCCTCCATTCTCCTCTCAGGATCTTGGGCACGCACGCACACGTGCCCGGCATGAGTTCTAAGCCACTGGGTCTGGGACGCGAACCGCGATCGACTATGTGGGAGTCCAGCGACATAGCCATTATGCTAACTGCTGGTTCCCTTTATTTTTTAATTTTGATGAGAGAGAGAAAGTGAGAAAGCAAGCCGCCAGGTCTGGGACTTGAAATGTGGTCAGCTGCGTGGGAGTCCAGCGCCTTTAACCACCATGCCACCTGCTGGCCCCTATTTTATTTTTTTAATGAAGAAAGGATTTGAGCTTTCTGGAAGGAAAGGTATACATTAATTGTTCTTTTTCCTAGCAGATTGGCACCCAAGTCCAGGCACTTAGATGATGATGATGACATTGAAGAACTAAAACCCAAAGGTACTGGGGATCAGATAGATATGCATTTGGGACAAGTTGACTTGGCTGTTGGGGTATGATGGACCTTCCAAGAAGGGATAAGCTAGGATATGGCCTGGAGGAGGGAATACATGGTCTCTAATGCTCAAAATAGCTCTTGGTAACCTGAGGAATCGAAGTCAGGGGTTGAGCTAGAGTCACGTGCCTAGATCTGGCAGAAGGGTGGAGGTGAACAAGGGAGGCTGCCAGCCTGGTTCTCTGAGCAGCTGGAATGAGGAGAAAGGGCTAGAAGAGTTATTTTTAATATTATTCAGAGCACAGAAAGAGGATTTCCCAGTAGGGAAAAAAGGGATATGACGTAGGTAGCACTGATGTTTCCAAGGCTCAGGGCAACACACAGGGAGGGGAGAAGGAGACCAGAAGTGGCGGCAAAATACTCTGATGCAGATGGCCCTGGATTAAACTACTGAATTCATATTTGGGTAACTCTAGGAAGATGCCTCAGTTTTCATTCTTGTAACAAACATTATTTTTCACATGAGTTTTCCAAGAGAAAGATGGGGAGAGAGAGAGAGAGAGAGAGAGAGAGAGAGAGAGAAAGCAAGCGGCCAGGTCTGG